ATATGTAATATCATAGATCCGTTGTCGGCTGACACCATCTTTTGCCTATATGTATATATATATTTATTTATTTTCATCAAACAACAATATAAAGTGTTAACTAAAATATTGCAAATGCTAAATATATTTTTGTATAAAAAAATAATTGCACTTCAAATGCGTATTAGTGTTAGTCTGATTGCACATTAATGACCGTCTGATTGTACTTTAGTGTTTGATGGATTGCACATTAGTGACTGCCAGATTGCATTATAGCAACTTAACCCGACTGAATTCGTTTTTTGTCATCGAAATCTTTGTCGGATCGATTGTACGTGTTTACCCTTAAAATTTTAGTTATTTCGGTTCGATGTCGTCTTTATTTTTTTAAAATAATCAAAATGACCAGACCGACCAAACTATATAAAAGATACTATTTTTTATATTAATATTATTTTTCCAATCTAAATAAATAAAAAGTTAGATAAATATATTAACGTGCACTTTACATTGCAATTTAATTATCGTTAACGCGCAATGTACGTAACATTAATGTGCAAGTATTGATATTTTTATAAATTATAAATTTGACCTATTAACTGAATTGTAATATATTGAAGTTTATACAATTCCAATTGAGTCCTTTAAACATATCCAATTTTTAAAAAAAGTTCGAAATTCTAAAATGCATAATTCCAGTTCCTTTTTTTACCGGCGATAGTAAGGTTGGGTTGTGGCGGAGACGGCCTGAGTGGCAGCGGGCGAGGGCTGACACTGCAGGCGGGTGGTGGTTCTCGCCGCTGCCGACCTGCAACTTCTCGAGTGCGTGACATGGCGGAGATGCAGGTGGTCGGTTGCGGTGGTGGCAGGTGGCGACGTGGAGGATGTTGTCGGCGACAACGTTAGTGGCGTGGCTGGTGGTGGCGACGAGCTGGTTGCTGCAAATGTAAGAAGGTGGCAGATGACAGAGGGGAGGTGAGGCTGCTATGGCCAGCCGGCCGAGGCGAAGCGGGGGACTGGTGGCTGAAGGCGGAGGCGAGGTGGAAGTGTGTTGACAACGGCGATTGTTGTGGCCGTCGACATGAGAACTCTCTCCATGAGCTTTGGACGAGTTGCCGGAATCGACGGGCGGTGGCGACAGCGGGTCTAATGACGACGGCGACATGACTAGCGGGCTTGCTGCAGTGGTGTGACACGACTGTGGGTGGGCTGTGAGCTGCCGAGGGGTGGC